TAACATATAATGAAAAGTGGGTGTTACATTGTACAGTGGCATTAAGTGCCGTAATATACACCTCTGCCTACCTCTTTGGGGATAAAAGGCGTGATATTATGTATGAAATTTTTCTAGTCCTGTGATGAATATCACTGACAGTGTGGTTGGTCCACCAATCGAAGGTCGCACCACGAGCTATGAGAGGGCAGTTTTCGATGTATGTCGTAAGGATCTTATCCGACAATAATATCATAGTCACCTACCATATCCGAAAACTGGCAGTGGTTTTTTTTCTCCGTATCAGCATCAGCCATATTGGGCCCCATCCGTGGAGATCTGATGGCTCTTTGAGGCGCGCGCTGAACGCTCGGCGCCGCACGCTCGGATCCAGTGATTGGTTATAAGAAAGGGGCTGATGTTGATGACGATAAATTGAATGAATTTTGATTTGATTTTAATTTTGAAAATCCATAAGTATTAATATATATGACGTTTTAATTAACGTCAGTTTAGGTTAAAACAAAGTAACATTCAATAAGACAATATTTTACATAGCGGGAACCAAACCCACGATACAATAACGTACAAAAACATATGATTACATAAAAACAGAAGTCATTATGTTACGATAGTCTATTGTTTTAGTAATTCACAGTTATTATTTTATTACCAAATTAAGTTTGCAGTTATAACTGTCGCTAGTGTCTTTGCAGATTCAGTTCCATAGTGTCACTTTGTACCAAATAATTTTAGTTCCAATTTTCACCACCTGTGTGTGTAACTTGGTAGTGTTATAATTAGTTGTTCTGTATGTGTATTTCCCAGGGAAATCTTTCTAAATTCTTTTGTCGGTATTGTCTATGAGAATGTACTTTAAATTATTTAGTCAAAGCAAGTTAAAGTAAATACTTTAAGTGTGGAAGATCCATACCGGCCGGCGGAAGTCGGTTAACCGACTTCAAGAAGAAAAATGGAGGTTCCTAGTTTAACCAGCATGTATTGCGCGATTATGTCACGATTGGATAAACCGATTTTGATGCTTTCAGAAAAGTGTGGTTTTAGTATTTTTTTTTTATATTTGATGGGGCCACGTTTGACCACTATCTCACCTGATGGTAAGCGATGATGCGGTCTACGATGGAGCACGTCGTCCCATAAGCAACCTATTCACTCGTTCCTTGAAGACTCCCAGGTTATACCCTTCAGGAAATACAGACTCTGGCAAAAAATTCCACTCTTTAGCAGTACGAACAAGGAAGCTTGAAGCGAAGCGCTTCGTGCGTGTGGGCGGAACATCTACCACGAATCGGTGACGCTTCGCGGATTGTCTTGTGGTACGATGATGGAAAGGACTAGGGTCGTAATCAAGTTGTGCAATTCCCCCGCACACTCCCCGAAATGTATCCGGTAGAAAACCGAAAGGCTTGCAACCTTACGCCTGTGTTCGAGGCTTTGAAGTCGAGCCTTCAGTATATTAATTAATTACTCGACTTTAAAAAAAGAGGGGCGGTTGTTTTAGACGTCTTTTATAAATAATTCCGATTTATAATATTAGTAAGGATTATTTTCAACCACACTTAATATGTAGGTGCATTCCTTTACCTCTCCTTTCGAAGAAAATAAACACACACATCACACGCCAATCTATCAATTTTTATACGATACAATTTCAACTTAATAACTAAACACAATAGAGTTGAAAACCCCTAAAGTATACCACAACAATTACCATTCAAAACTTTAAATAATTCATACGCGACAAGCCATTGAAATGATTCGGCGAAAGATTGACTGGTATCGAATATTATTCAAATTAAAACGATGCATCATCAAATCCCGTAATAAAACACAATAGAATTGCTTATGTACCTACTTGATAATCTTTATACTTTATGTGCCGATGATCTAGTTACCTGGTGACCTATTCATCACTAACAACAATAATAAATGGAGAGCCATGCATCGGCACGAATGGACCGGCTCGACCAGAGTGATACCACGGCCTCACAGAAAACCGACGTGAAGCAACGCTTGCGTTGTGTTTCGTCGTGTGAGTGTGGTTACCGGAGGCCCAATTACTCTCCTCTTCCCCAATCTCTCCAATCCCTGATTCCCCAACGATCCTCAAACTTCTAATCCCCAAGAAGCCGGTAACGCACTTTGTAACGCCTCGGGTGTTTCAGGTGTCCATGAGCGACGCCAATTGCTTACCATCAGGTGATCCGTCTGCTCGTTTACAGGCTTATGCCATAAAAAACAAAAAAAAAAGAAAAGGCTGCAACCTAGTCTCTGTCTTTGAACCGAAAAAAGTCACTAACCCTGCCTGGTTTGGAAATCGAATACCGAACCTTGATAGGCAATCGTTTTGCTTCTGAAACTGACTAGAGACTCATAATCAGAACTGTCAAAATATAATTTCTTCAGTTCGTCCCCTTAAGAATATGAAGGGCATAAAGTTACGTTTAACCTTTATAAGAACTTTAGAAATAATATCTACTTACTTTATCTACAATAAAATTAAATATCAAATCTTTCATTGTTATAATTTAATGGTGGATATTAAAAACAAATCAAAAGAACAGCTGTAAAGTATAATGCGAATCAAATCTTTGATAAGTAGACTTATTTATTACTTGAAGTTATGACATGTGCCATGAGTTGGATGTGTGCCAGCTTAATTAGTTACTTCTTGAACTTAATTCTGAAATTATACATATAATATAGGACTTTAATGTTACAGTTTTAGCGCCTGTTTTACCACTTTCACATAGGATACCAGTTTGTAGAACGCAATTTGTAGAACTATCAGTTCATACTTCTTGCGGTCTTAATTCAATCTGATACAAGTGAAAATTAAACACAGGGTTAAATTTACAAATGCATTTTATCTTTATTGTTTTATTACAATTTTTGAACAATAAACCATTAATAAACATAATCTTTTCGACGCTCAACAACCATCATAATTTCGCACCGCGCCAAGCCCCAGTATTGCTTACAACAACCCTAAAAACTACAATGCACCGTGCTCAGTCGTTTTGCATCTTATTTTCAAGCAAAGTATTACGAGTTTTTTCAAAAAAATCTCAGTAATAGCACGGAGTCCGGAGATGTGCCCGGTATATGACAATATGCTCACCGCCTATTACATGGGACTCATATAACAAACATAGTGAAAAGTGCACCTCTGCCTACCCTTTCGGGGATAAATGGCATGATGTTATGTTATGTTATGTTATCATTTGCAATATCAGTATGTAAGTTATCTAAAGTATTTCCCAATTAATTAACTATCTACTGAGAAACAATACCACAAACCAAACGTACTCATGAAATGCAAAACAAGAAATTAGGTAAATAGACATTATTTTAACAGAGTAAACTAAAGTGGTATTTACGTAGTTATTTACTTTATACCAAGTCACTTACAGGTTTCATGGTGTCGGTTGATCGACTAGAGTGATACCACGGCCTGATAGAAAACCGGCGTGAAATAACGCTTGCGTTGTGTTTCGCTGTGTAAGTTAGGTTACTGGGGGCTTCAATACCTTCCTTCAAAGAGCCAGCAACGCACTTGTAACTTTACTGGTGTTTCGAGTGTCCTTGGGCGGCGCCGATTGCTTACCATCAGGTCATTCATGTACTTGTTTGCCACCTTGTGCCTTAGAAACTACTAATCCCTTAAACTTCGTTCCTTTCTCGTTCTTCTCTATTCGAAACTACAGTTCGGAATGAGCACCTGGCTCCACTGCCAATTCAATCTGACGTTTCAAAAGTGTAATATTAAGGTTTAATATAAATAACATAACATCACGCCTCTTATCCCCGAAGGGGTAGGCAGAGGTGCACGTTACGGCACTTAATGCCACTGTACAATGTGACACCCACTTTTCACTATTTATGTTATTTTGAGGTCCATGTAATATGGGGTGAGGTTATTGCCATATACCTTAAACTAATATTAATATTATGAATATAAAGAACGAATAATTAAAATATGTATTTACACCTTAAAATTACCTTAAAAAAATGTCAGCTTCCTCAACGTTATAGTTAGGTAATGTGCCCAAGAGACTGAAGAGACTGGCATTTAATGAAGTAAATGCTTGACTTTGACTTTGACATTGAACAATCTATCTAGTTTTTAAATAAGCAGCACTATATATAACTCGCTATATAATATACAAATGCCATACCTACTCTGTTTGACATAGCAATTTAAATTTAAACAAGAACATCTTAAACATGGTTCTTTGCGAAAACAAGATTAAATACAACGGGGCACGAGTACTTGGCAATGAACTTGGGGCACATACGTATGTGATCGCTATATGTCAAGGATTATATACAATCAGTGCGTTGACCTCTTACAACGATTGTATACCTCTGGCGTTAAATATTATGTAATAGAAAGGTTAAGATTGGCTTGGTTGAGTGGTGATATAGTGACTAGTGATCTTAGGGTTTTAAATTCAATCCAGTTGTCTTGTCTTTAAATCGAGCAAGGGGTCTCGGGTTCGATTCCCGGGTCGGGCAAAGTATTACTGGGTTTGTAAAAACCTCAGTATGGCAATAGGCTCACCCCCTATTACATGGGACTCATAACATAAATAGTGAAAAGTGGGTGTTACATTGTACAGTGGCATTAAGTGCCGTTATGTGCACCTCTGCCTACCCCTTCGAGGATAAAAGGTGTGATGTTATGTTATGTTGTTTTGTCTTTAGTTTGGGTTTTTCGATTTTGAAGTTCTTTGTGGGCCTCTAATTTTATGGGCCTTCATAATATAACTGAGGTACCCCACTTCGTAAACTTTCTCATGTCTTATAGTGTGATTCTTAAAACGAAAGGTAAAGAAAACAAATAAATAAGATTTAAACTTTTTTTTTCATATTAACTTACAATTACACAGATTCAGTCGTTCAACAATTTTTGTAAATAAAAATTTGAGACATTCAGCCTAAACCTAAACTTATCATTACGATCACAATTTACACACAACACTCGCACTAGTTTCCCTTCACGCATTGTTACCGAGACCCATATTCATGGCATTTAATATGTCACCATTGTCCGCATCCACCTCCCAAGCGAACAACCCACCTAACTTATTGTTCCTCACATATTTAGCTTTCTCAATTGTCGATCTCGCGTCATCATACGTAATAAGGTCTCCAGTCTCCTTCCTGAACACATACGGTGCCTGAGCCACCTTATCATAGTGATACTCCCACTTGCCCTGAGCAATTTCATTGGCAATCTCTCTGTAGTCTACCACACCATCCTGCCAAGTTCCTTTAACTGGACCAGTAGCTACACCAGTGAACGGATTACCATCTTTGTAGCCGTTAACTCCAGTCCAACCTCTTCCATACATAGCAACACCAACAACGATCTTCTTGGGGCTGACACCTTGTGCTAACAGGAATTTGACACCAAAGTCAGTTGTGTAAGTCTCCTTGGGGTTCCATGCTGGGGCGTACAAACCAGCCTGGTGGCCAAGAGTGTCGTTAGACCAAGCTCCCTTGAAGTCATAACTCATCAAGAAGATGTGGTCCATGTACTGCTGAGCTTCTTTGTAGTCCACAACTTGAATCTTGTCCCAACCAGAGCTGATAGCAGATGTCAATTCGTACTTCTTACCAGTCTTGGCAGAGAGCTCGTTCAACATCTCTCTGAGTTCCTTCATCAGCTGGACGTAGATGTGACCATCTTCAGGGGCGCCGAGATCAGGGTTGGCTCCTTTACCACCAGGGAATTCCCAATCAATGTCAACACCATCAAAGAACTTCCAGGTTTCAAGGAAGTCCTTGACTGAAGCAACGAAGCGGTGTCTCTTCACTTCGTCAGTGAAAAAGAAGAACGGATCAGCCAGGGTCCATCCACCAACAGAAGGCAAGATCTTCAGATCTGGTCTTGCTTGTTTCAACATCATCAATTGACCGAAGTTACCCTTGTAAGGCTCGTTCCAGGATGACAAACCTTTTTGAGGTTTCTGAAGAGCAGCCCAAGGATCGTGGATAGATACTTTGAAGTCTTCCCTGCCGCTGCAAGATCTCTGAAGAGCTTGGAAACTGCCTTCAATCTCCTTTAAACTGTCGTTGATGCCATCTCCACCACAGATTGGGATGAATCCGTACAGCAGATGAGTAAGGTTAGGAATAGGCACACGGTCGACGGGGAATTTCCTAGGGTAGACACCCCATTCTACGAAGTACGCACCAACAACCTTTCCTGAAGTCTGCTTGAAGGGCTTGTTCCTTTCACCAATAGAATAGTCCAAAGGTGGGAGATGGCTACCGTCAGTATCAGCAACAACTATCTCGGTTGATTCACTGTAGCTGCATCCTGCAGAGTTGCAGAGTTCCACTTTCATTTGGTATCTACCACCCTTCTTAACTTTGAAGGTGGCTGAGGTGGCTGATCCAGATCCAGACCAGAACTCCTTGTCGTTGAGCAGTACCCTGGATTTTTCAGCTGGGTCACCAGACCAGACGTTCCATGTTACAGTAACATCGGCTGCATCTTTCTTTGTTACCAGCTGGTTGTAAGCTGTGGCGGCTTGGTTTACTTCGACGATTGCGAATGTGCGTTCTCCCCAGCCTAAGGACGGCTTGCCGGGAGGGCCGCACGCGACGACGGCGAGGAGCCCCGCGCCGATGACTAACGCCAACATCGGACGTCCCATAACCGGTTCTAAAAAAATAAATACGAAAAAGTTGGACACAAACTTCTCATTAAAGAGCCAACTCGGAACTGGAGTTGCATCTCAGTGGTATCTTTTATATATGGCTGGTATAGTAGGCCAACCGCTAACATGTTGGGCCCGCATTGTATTGAATGCCGATACCGCAGTGATTTTGTGATACGTAATAATAATCGTTAGCACACTTCTCTATCCCGGTCACGTTAGTGGGTCGGTCAAGGTGACCAATGTTTTTAATTGTTCGTCTTATTGTTTGTCCGCCCTTTATGACTCAACTAAAAGGAAATGTATCACCTTTTATCTTGTACCGTTCTGTGTTACTGGGATTTGGAAATTTAATCTCCAAGTCATGAATGTAAACTGTTTGATTCCGTGCAACTTTAAGTAGATGTAATATAAATCTAATTAAACATTATTAACTACCTATTTGTGATAAACACAAACCGATAATAAAATGTTAATGACAAGAGTTGTATTTTTACTCGGTAACGTAAGCTTGTAAGTCCATTGTTAAAAAAATAGTTTTTAGCAATCAGTCATAGGAAAAACGCAGTTACATTATATTAATTGCCTTCTTACTTTTAAACATTTTCGTGTTATGATAACTTTTAATCTTTATTATAGTCGGTACTAGGAACGTGTGGAATAATATCACTGTTCCTCGAAGGTTGGCCAGAATCCAGAAAACCCTTTCAGAAAACGATTACTTTACTAAGAATCCCTTACGAGATACAAGTCATCCCAATTTCGTAATTAACAAAAACATTCTAAAAAATATCTTAGTAGAAAAAAAATCCATTAAAATATCCAAAACAAAAATATTACAAGCAAAGTCAAGTACTGAGCTAGTATAAAAATATGTTAATATTTTAAAAATCAGTGTCATTACCATTTCTTAATGAGTCATTATAACTTTAGTCGTGGAATCTAAATCAAATTGCGTTTTAAATATATGAAAAGTAAGTCTATTTCTGCTTGGAATATTATTTTAGCTTTTCGTTAGTATAAAAAATAGGCCAAGGACCAATTATTACGTTCTTACTTTTATTTCATTAAATTGTCGTATCACTTTTCCAAAGTTTGCAGTTTTTAGATTTTTCTTATACCCTACGAAGCTTATGGAAACAGAAAACAACGTAAAAATCTAATCCAATTTTTGTACAGTCGTTTAAAAGTTATGAACATAGGTAATTAGGTTGATTTTATTATAAATTATTAACTTTTATTTACAATGAGATCGATACTACACTGCAGCATACAAAAAAAGCTAAATTAATATTTAAAAAATTTAAAAATGGTCCCAAAACTCAGAACTTATTATGTCTCATTTTCATACTTCAAATATTAAAAAAAAATAAGTTACTAGTACTTTTGTAAATACTGTAATCGAATACATATTACAAGTAAGTTGATTAAAATAAGCACTTTTCAGGTCAATACCCTTTGCCAAAACCTGGAAGACAGGTTTTATTTTCCCAAAAAAAGTACCTAAACAAATCCCTTGATTTCTAAAAATGATAATAAGTCTAATGAAATCTTTATTTGTGAAGAATTTTTGAGGTTTTCGACATAACATCTCGCTTATATTCTCGATAGGGAAGACAGAGAGGTAGCAATGAAATCTGCATCATAGTTTATTTTGTACAGTATGCAAAGTAGCAAAAGTATGCGATATGTACTGAACTACAGCACTGCCTACCCCTTTGAAAAACAACTAGAAATATATTGTCTTATGTATATTGAAACACCATAACCTACAAAAAGTTGTACATGATTATAACAGTGTAAACAACACGCCCCTTAAATAATTAGCCCGCATACAAAAACTGTATTCGGGCATCCAAAGCATTTGAGAGTATTGCACTTAAACTGTCAATATAATATGTCAGTGTTATGATTCTAGAATTTAAAAAGATAAGGTGAATAATAATTTTTGTAATACTAACAACATGATCTGGTTGCACTCAGCTAGTTGCATTTTTATGACTTCAAATAAAAGGAGATTCTCAGGTCTCACAGGTTGTAACCTGAATTTATGTATGTATGTATCTTTGTGCGTGACTATCTCGCGATTAGCTGAACCGATTTTGATGGGGTTTTCAGAGTGTGTCATACTTAGGAGAAGGTTTTAGTATATTAATCAACCGAATTCAAAAAAAGAGAGGTTGTTTATAAAAAAAATGAAAATCTTTTACATTAGCATCATCATCATCAGCCTATAAGTGCACACTCCTGAGCAAATGCTTCTTCTCACACGGAGAAGGTTTGAATACCTATATGTCACCACGCTTGCTCAATGTAAGTTCGCGATTTCAAACTTGATTTTCCTTTACCCTATGTCAGAGATGTCTAAATAATATTTTTTTACTGTGACTTTGCCCGACTTATATGTATTTAAACAGTCTTATTTAGTTTGACCCGTTTGTTTGTTTGGGTCAAATTTAGTCATTAAAATTTTCTTTCCTGATGAGAGATCGATGAAATATTTGGTACACACTCTTAATGACCATACAATATTGTCTAAATTTCACAACTGCCTCCATTGTAAATATCAAACGTTAAGACTTTTTTTAAGGGGAAAATCATCGAATGACTGCTCTCGCCTGGGTGAGGCGGGAGGGCGTGTCAGACTCTTACTGACTAAAAACCACCCCGTTTCTTCTCCTGCACGTCGAGAGCCCGGTAACCGGAGCATCTCTCTTAGCTCTCCCACACTCAAATGGATGGACTTGGATGAAAGATAAGTGTTTGTGAGAGGATGACGTCAGATAAAGATGAATGGGTTGGTTAATTTTAATGTTGATAAATATTGCAAACGTGGTGGCCTGGAGGTTTAAGACTTCTCATGCATGAGGGTGCGGGTTCAAAACCTACCAACGGCAAGTACCAATCTGACTTTTTCCGAGTTATATGTACTTTCTAAGATTATTTAGACACCACTGACAAACGGTGAAGGAAAAACATCGTGAGGAAACCTGGACTTATAATTTCTAATTATAAGTTTGAATCGCCAACCCGCATTGAGCAAGCGTGGTGATTAATGCTCTAACCTTCTCCGTGTGAGAAGAGGCTTTGCTCAGCAGTGGGCATTTATAGGCTGTTGATGATTGCAAACGAAACAAAAAGGAATAGGATTAAATTTCACTCTACAACTTTGTATGTATCTAAAAGAAAAAAGCTTACGACTATATTTCATTCGGACAGACAAACGTACTTGATACTTCATTACCAATATTATATTGATAAGTCTAAATAGCACAGACATTACAATAATTAGCATGAAATTAAACCTTATCTCGTAAAGTGGAAGACTCAAACTTGAATGGTTTTTTTAGGTTGGCCAAAGCATTATGAAGGTTATTCGAAATTCTAGATAGTTCTAGATTTTGCACAGTATTTAGTATCATATTGGTCTACCCTCTATACTAGCTGTATGTATATGTTTAAAGAAAAAATTGCTCAAAAATAAATTACTTTGATTTTTAAGTCCAATTAAATATTGAAAAACAGTTACACTTTCATTCATTGATTTGCCGATATACTTAATTTTCGATTTAATCTAGCATTGTTTTTAGATATAAGTGTCCTATTTGACGCGAAAAATGATGACGTCATAAGATAGTATTTCGTACAAAATTCTTAGAACAGTATCGTTTTTGACGTTTCGATAAAAGTATTCAATTTGACTAGTTGTCAACTACCGTATTACATGGGACTAAATTAATTAACTAATTACAGCTAGTGCAAAATCTTAAAAGGTGTCTTTTTATAATTATTTTATGGAATAGGAGGCAAATGAGCAGACAGATCACCTGATAATAAGCGACACCCGCAACACCAGAGAAGCCACAGGTACCTAAGTTACCAGCGTTGAATACCCTCTTTTTTTGAAGGTTTGAAGGTAGGCCTTCTTGCGTATGCCACTCACATATGGAGCGAGGCCATAGAGGGGCACGGAGAGGCACTAGCAGTCTCCCTCGATATTTCGAAGGCCTTTGACAGGGTATGGCACGACAGTCTAATCGGCAAGCTTCCTGCATATGGACTTCCTACTGGTCTGTGCAGATGGATAGCAGACTTTCTGAGGGATCGGTCAATACGAGTAGTCATCGATGGCTGCTCGTCTGACCAATTCGGTATTAATGCCGGCGTCCCTCAGGGGTCAGTACTTTCAGCGACGCTCTTTTTGCTGCACATAAACGACCTGCTTAAGCCCGGTATCTTTGGGTATGCAGATGACAGCACAGTTGTTGAAAGGTATGTGTCCGGTGCGCGGACTAGCGGAACACAGATCCAGTCTTTAAGAGAATCCATGGTCGAACGTTTGAACTCGACCTTGAAGGCGGTGTCCGACTGGGGTGACGCCAACTTGGTTAGGTTCAATGCTAGCAAGACCCAGGCGTGTCTATTCTCCGCCAAACGGAGTCAATTTCCGCTGACTCCTACTTTCCGGAATGTATCCGTACCGATAACCGATCGTCTTGAGCTTCTTGGTGTAACTCTGACGCCCACGCTCAACTTTGGCTCCTATATAGAGTCAAAAGCGCAACTGGCTGGTAGGAAGTTGGGTGTCCTTTGGAGGGTGAGACGGTACTTCACGCCGAAACAATTGCTGAGCCTGTACCAAGCACAGGTTCGGTCCTGTATGGAGTACTGCTCTCATCTTTGGGACGGCTCGGCTAAATATCAGCTGGACGCGTTAGAGCACATTGAGAGGCGTGCCAGGAGGCTCATCGACGATGATGCGCTTGTGAAGGCTCGGCTTCAAAGCCTCGAACACAGGCGTAAGGTTGCAAGCCTTTCGGTTTTCTACCGGATACATTTCGGGGAGTGTGCGGGGGAATTGCACAACTTGATTCCCCCTAGTCCTTTCCATCATCGTACCACAAGACAATCCGCGAAGCGTCACCGATTCATGGTAGATGTTCCGCCCACACGCACGAAGCGCTTTGCTTCAAGCTTCCTTGTGCGTACTGCTAAAG